CCCCCGGGGGGGGGGGGCCCCGGGGGGGGCCCCCGCGGGGGCCCCGCGGGGGCCCCAGGGAACCAATGCGCTCCAGTCGCTCGGGGAGGGACTTGGCCTGGAGACAGACACACACACGAGGCAGAGACACTGCAGCCGCAAGCAAGCCACAGCGACAGCCGTGCTGCTGCTGCTGCTGCTGCTGCTGCTGCTGCTGCTGAGGATGGGGATGGTGGTGGTGGTGGTGGTGGTGGTTCTGCAGCAGCAGCTGCTGCTGTTGCTGACGGGGGTGATGCTAGTGATGCTGGTGCTGCAGCTGCTGAGGTTGTTTGTGCGGCAGTTGCTGCTGCAGTTGCTGCTGCAGTTGCTGCTGCAGTTGCTGCTGCAGTTGCTGCTGGCAGCAGCTGCAGCAGCGGCTGCGGAGGAGACACTTCACGAGGTGAAGGAGACGGCAGGTAGAAGAAAACAAGAGACAACAGAAAGGAGACAAAAATAAACAAAAGGAGACAAAAGATAGAATAAAGGAGACAGATATAAAAGAGACAAAAAATAAAAGAGACAAACGAGGAAAGAAGCAAAGTGCAAAAGAAGCGACAGAAAGGATAAAAAGAAAGGAAATGAAAAGACAAGAAAAGAGAAAGGAGACAAAGACCCAACAAAAAGGGACAAAAGAAGAAAGAGACAAAGCAAAGAGACGCGCAACCAGCAGCAGCAGCAGCAGCAGCAGCAGCAGCAGCAGCAGCAGCAGCAGGCCTGACTTGGGGCTCGCAGCAAGCCAGGGGTGAAAGGGCCCCAAGGCCAGAGACGCAGCATCTACCGAAGAGGGGCCCCCGCTGGGTTCCCAGGACTCTGTGTCGCTGCCTCTTTGCTGCTGCTGCTGCTGCTGCTGCTGCCGCAGCCTGGGGGCCCCCTCTCCCTGCTGCGCTGCAGTACCCTGCTGGCTGTGGGGATCGTTTCTAATCAGCAGCGCATGCGCAGCAGCAAAAGCAAAGCGGGGGCCCCGGCTGGCCCCCGGCCCTCGCCCTTCTTGCTGGGGCCCCCAGGGGGCCCCCCTGCCAGGGGGCCCCCGGGGGGCCCCCCTGCCCCCAGGGGGCCCCCACCGCCCTCGGGGGAGATCCAAACAATCCCCAAGTCCTCACAAAAGTGCAGCAGCCGCAGCTGTGGGGCCGTCATGTGGGCCAGAGAGAAAGGCTGGCCTATTGTGGACTCAGCAATTGCCACCAGCAGCAGCAAAGTCTCTTCCATCTGAGCAGCAGCAGCAGCAGCAGCAGCAGCAGCAGCAGCAGGGAGTGAAGCCGCAGCAGCACGGGGGACAAAAAAGCAGATGGGCAAACTGCCAGCAGCAGCAGAACCGCCACGGCGAACGCACGCCAAACTGACAGCTGCAGCAGCAGCAGCAGGCAACACCTAGCAGCAGCAGCAGCAGCAGCAGCAGCAGCAGCAGCAGCAGCAGCAGCAGCAGCAGACAGCGGCTTGCCTCTTGTGCCTTGGCCTGCACGAGGTCGGCGGAGGCCACTGCGGGCCCCTCGCCTGGGTCGCCCCCGTCTGGGCGGGCCCTGTCGCTGCTGCTGCTGCTGCTGCTGCTGCTGCGGCTGCTGCTGCTGCCGCCGCGCTTCGCCCCCTTGCCCCTGCTGCTGCTGCTGCTGCTGCTGCTGCGGACTGCTGCTTCGTGAGCCACATTTGTAAGAAAGCCCCCGTCCACCAGCAGCAAAAACTCCCGCAGCAAAGAACAGAGTTGGGCCTTCAAGTCCTTCAGCAGCCACGAGAAGGCCTCCTTCGCCATCACGTAGTCCGTGCTGCTGCTGCTGCTGCTGCTGCTAGCAGCAGCAGCAGCAGCAGCAGCAGCAGGGGAGCCCGCGAACAAGGGCTGCGGCGGCTGCTGCACCGGCGCAGCCGAAGGCCTCTCTTCGCACAGCAGCCGCTTGCGGTGAAGCACCTGCACCCACCCAAACCCTAAACCCTAAACCCTAAACCCCAAACCCTAAATCCAAAACCCTAAACCCTAAACCCTAAGCCCCTAGCCCAAATTCCGAAGCCCCCAAGGCTCTCTGCGCCACAAGGAGCGCCCCACAGCGCAGTCACCAAAGCTGCATAGCCAGCAGCAGCAGCAGCAGCAGCAGCAGCAGCAGCAGCAGGACGCCGGCGGGGTTTCTGCGCGAGGGTTTAGGGTTTAGGGTTTAGGGTTTGGGCCGACGGTGAGGAGGTCTGGGGAGGGGGCGGGGGCGGAGGGGGGCCCCTCGCGGGGCTCGAGGCCCCCCTGGGCCCCCAAAATGAGCTGCAGCAAAAAGTCCCATTTGCTGCGGCTGTGCTGCAGCAGCAACTCGCGGGGGGGGAAGCTGGCCCTGGGGGGGAGGCCTATGAAGGGCAGGGGGGCCCTTGGGGGCCCCTCCAGCAGCAGCAGCAGCAGCAGCAGCAGCGGGGGGCTCGATGGCGCGGATGAAACTTGCTGCTGCGAGGCGCTGCAGCGAACGCCGCAGCTCGCCCATGCTGCTGGAGGAGACCCACAGCCGCATGGCCCTTTCGGAGACAGTTTGCTGCAGCGGCAGCAGCCGCAGCAGCACATGCAAGTCGAAGGGACACAAGGCCCGCAAGCAGCAGCAGCAGCCCAGCGGAGAAGCCAGCACTGCAGCAGGAACTGGAGACGGCAGCAGCAAAATGTAGCGAAACAGCTCGTTCCCGCTGCAGCACACACCCACACGCCGGCTGCTGCTGCTGCTGCTGCTGCTGCTGCTGCTGCTGCAGCTGCTGCTGCAGCTGCTGCTGCTGCAGCAGCTGCTGCTGCTGCAGCAGCAGCTGCTGCTGCTGCGTGTAGTAGTTACGCTGTGTGCGTCTGTGGCTGCGTCTCCGCTGCTGTCTATATCCAGCAGCTCTTTGTGTCTCCTTGTGTCTCCTTTCTTGTTTTTGTCTCCTTTTATTTCTTTTATTTCTTTATTTCTTTTATTTCTTTTATTTCTTTTATTTCTTTTTATTTCTTTTTTTCTCTTTTGTTATTTCACAAAAGGCCCCACCTGTACTCCAACGGAGAAAGCCGCAGGCTGTTTTGCCGCTCCCCAGCAGCAGCAAGAGGGGCCCCCGGGGGGCCCTGGGGGGCCCCCGGGGGCCCCTGGGGCCCCTGGGGGCCCCCCTGGGGCCCCTGGGGAGGCCCCCGCTCCATCCCCGCGCTGGGGGCCCCTAGCTAGCTGGTTGCTGGTGGGGGCCCCAAGCAGCAGCACTTAGCCGGGGAGAGACTTGCGCCCAGCAGCAGCAGCAGCAGCAGCAGCACACATGAGTCTCCTCATAGAGCAGCAGCAGCAGCAGCAGCAGCAGCAGCACGCGCGAGACTCGTCAAGGAACAGCAGCAACGCAGCAGCTGCTGCTGCTGTTGAAGGGATTGGATTGACAGAAGAAAATGCTAGGGTTGAAGGCCCCACAAGCAAGAGAAGGGGACAGCAGCAGCAGCAGCTGCTGCTGCTGCTGCTGCTGCTGCTGCTCCGGCTGCTGCGGGCAGAGGATATAAGAAGCTCCGCAGGGAGCGCAGCAAAAGAAAAGTGGACACAAGAGGTTCTACATGAAAAGCGATTCACGGTCTTGGGTCTAGGGTTTAGGGTTTAGGGTTTAGGGTTTAGGGTTTAGGGCCTAGGGTTTAGGGTTTGGGGGCCCCTCAGCCGCGTGTGGGCGCAGCGGGGGACTCTGGGGCCCCCCAGCCCTCTGCGGGAGTTTTCATTTCTTGAGGAATTGTTTGTCTTCTTTTGCAAAAAAATTACTTTTAATTTGTTATTTAGTTTCAATTCTAAGATTTATATCTGAGGGTTTAGCCCGGGGCGCGAGAAGGAAGCAGCAGGACCCCTGCTGCTGCTGCTGCTGCTGCTGCTGCTGCTGCTGCTGCTGCAGCCTTCTGCTGCGTCCCCTTCGATCCACCAGATTGCTGCCATTAAGTTTTCCTTTTTTACTTCTTCTGCTTTTTTTTGGGGTTCCTTTTTGGCGCTCCCACAGGCCAGCCAAACCAGCAGCAGCAGCAGCAGCAGCAGCAGCAGCAGCAGCAGCAGCAGCAGCAGGTGGGGCCCCCCTTTCTGGGCCCCCCTCGCTCAGCGTCTCTGTGGGCCCCCCAAGCCTCTGGAGCTGCTGGCGCAGCGGCGGCCGCAGGGGGCCGAGACGAAACCCTAAACCCTAAACCCCAAACCCTAAACCCTAAACCCTAAACCCTAAAGCGTTATTGAGGGTGAAGCAGATAATGCTTGTGGCTGCAACTCTGGGAGAGTCCAAGCCCTGAAAATGCCAGCAGCAGCACCAGGGGCCCCTGTTGCTGCAGCTCCCCAGGGGGCCCCCCAGGGGCCCCCCGAGGGGCCCCCCCCCGAGGGGCCCCCCTTCTCGCCGCCTCCCGCCTCCCCGTCTCCCGCAGCCTCCCCAGCAGCAGCAGCAGCAGCAGCAGCAGCAGCTGCTGCTGCTGCTGCTGCAGCTGCTGCTGCTGCTGCTGC